GACCGGAGTACTTTGGACCGGAGTCCTTTCGATCGGAGTCCTTTGGACTGGAGTCCTTTCGACCGGAGTTCTTGCGACTAGACTCCTCGGACCGGAGTACGTGCGACCTGGAGTACATTCAATCCGAGTCGTTTGGACCGGAGTCCTTTGGGCCCGAGTACTTTGGACCCGGGTCCTTTTGGTTAGAGCCCTTTGGATCGCAGTCCTTTGGACCCGAGTACTTCGAACTCGAGTACTCTGGACTGGAGTCCTTTCGACTGGAGTACTTTGGACCGGAGTAATTTGGACCAGAGTCCTTTCGACAGGAGTACTTTTGACTGGAGTACTTTGGACTAGAGTCCTTTGCACCGGAGTACTTTGGACTGGAGTACTTTTGACCAGAGTACTTTGGATCGGAGCACATTGGACCAGAGTGCTTTCGCCAGGAGTACTTTGGATCTGAGTCCTTTGGACTAGAGTAGTTTGGGACGTTGTACTTTGGACCGGAGAACTTTTGACAGGAGTCCTTTGGACCGGACTCCCTTGGACCGGATTCCTTTGGACTGGAGTCCTTTGGACCCGAGTACTTTGAACTCGAGTACTCTGGTCTGGAGTCCTTTCGACTGGAGTACTTTGGACCGGAGTAATTTGGACCAGAGTCCTTTCGACTGGAGTACTTTGGACCGGAGTACTTTGGATTGGAGTCCTTTGGACCGGAGTACTTTGGACTGGAGTACTTTTGACCAGAGTACTTTGGATCGGAGCACATTGGACCAGAGTGCTTTCGCCAGGAGTACTTTGGATCTGAGTCCTTTGGACTAGAGTAGTTTGGGACGTTGTACTTTGGACCGGAGAACTTTTGACAGGAGTCCTTTGGACCAGACTCCCTTGGACCGGATTCCTTTGGACCGGAGTCCTTTGGACCCGAGTACTTTGAACTGGAGTACTCTGGTCTGGAGTACTTTCGACTGGAGTACTTTGGACCAGAGTAATTTGGACCAGAGTCCTTTCGACTGGAGTACTTTGGACCGGAGTACTTTGAACTGGAGTCATTTGGACCGGAGTACTTTGGACAGGAGTACTTTTGACCAGAGTACTTCCGACCGGAGCACATTGGACCGTTGTGCTTTCGCCAGGAGTACTTTGGATCTGAGTCCTTTGGACTAGAGCACTTTGGGACGTTGTACTTTGGACCAGAGAACTTTTGACAGGAGTCCTTTGGACCGGACTCCCTTGGATCGGATTCCTTTGGACCGGAGTACTTTGGCCTGGAGTACTTTGGACCGGAGTTCTTTAAACTGGAGTACTTTAGACCGGAGTACTTTGGATCGGATTCCTTTGGACCGGAGTAGTTTGGACCAGAGTCTTTTGGACCGGAGTCCTTTGGGCCGGAGTTCTTTGCACCGGGATACTTTGGACCGGAGTGCTTTGGTTGGACCAAAGTTCTTTGGAACGGAGTTCTTTTGGAGTGCAATGCTTTGGACCGGAGTCCTTTGAGCTGGAGTCCTTTGGACTGGAGTCTTTTGGACCGGAGTACTTTGGGCCATAGTTATTTGGACCGGGGTATTTTGGACTAGAGTTTTTGAGCCGTTTTCGCGGGGTTTGTCGCCGCCTTGAATGGTTTACCACTGGTTTGCCGCCGCCTTGAGTGGGTTTCCACTGGTTTGTTGACGCCTTGAGTGGGCTTCCACTGGTTTGCCGCCTCCTTGAGTAGCTTTCCACTGGTTTGCCGCCGCCTTGAGTGGTTTTCCACTGGTTTGCCGCCGCCTTCAGTGGTTTGTCACTGGTTTGCAGCCGCAGTCTTGAGTGGATTTCCACTGGTTTGCCGCCGTCTTCAGTGGTTTTCCACTGGTTTGCCACTGCCTTGAGTGATTTTCTACTGGTTTGCTGCTGCCTTGAGTGGTTTTCCACTGGTTCGCCGCTGCCTTGAGTGGTTTTCCACTAGTTTGGTGCTGAATTGAGTGATTTTCCACATTTTTGCCACCACGCCGAGTGGGTTTCCACTGGGTTTTCACCACCTTGAGTGGTTTTCCACTGTTTTGTCACCACCTTGAGTGGTTGCCAACTAGTTTGCCCCCACCTTGAGTAGTTTTCCACTGGTTTGCCACCGCTATGAGTGGCTTTCCACTGGTTTGCCGCTCCCTTGAGTGGATTTCCATTGGTTTGCCGCTGCCTTGAGTGGTTTCCACTGGTTTGCCACCATGTTGAGTGGTTTTCCACTGGTCTGCCACCACGCTGAGTGGCTTTCCACTGGTTTGTCACCACCTTGAGTGGTTGCCAACTGGATTGCCACCACATTGAGTTGTTTCCTATTGGTTTGTGGATTGTTTTCCACTGGTTTGCCGCCACCTTGAGTGGTTTTGCCCTGGTTTGCCACTACTTTGCCCTCATTTATGGGTGGCCGGCGTCCAGCTAGGGGTGGCTGGCGTCCACCTGAGGATGTCTAACATCCAGCTGTGGGTTTTCAAGTGGTTCGCCGGCACATTGAGTTGTTTCCGAGTGTTTTTTTATCACCCTAAGTGGTTTTCGATTGGTTTACCACCACCCTTAGTAGTTTTTGAGAGGTTCGCCGCCAACCTGAGTGGTTTGAGACTTATAGCCTTATCCCTGTGCATTCCCCTTCTTTCTTCCCCTTGGTTGCAGTCTTGCGCTTCTCCGCCCTTCATTAACTTGCTAGACGGGCGGCACCTTTGCTTTGACCGCGTTGACTCCGTCGTGCTTGATTCAGCAGACTGCCGCCCGCACTTTTCCTCCATTAGTGCCTTCTTTGCTCAGTTGGGCATAGCAATGAAGCAGCAGTTACCAGTGTTGGCTGTTGAGCAACAGACACTGAACGACACACAGAGGGCGGAGAGGGAGGTGAGTACTGAATGATGGCGCGTTGGTTTCAAAGGCACGTCACGGCATTGCAGTGAGGCAGCAGGCACTGAACGATGCACAGAGAGCGGAACGAGCGTTGAGTGTAAAATAATGGCATAACGGGCTTAAGACACTTCCCTGGGAATGGCAGGGAAGCAGCGGTTGATCAGCAGGCGTTGAACGATACACATAGAGTGAAAAAAAATGTGAGTGCCCACCTGCCGTCACCACCTGTCATCGCCCACCACCCACCACCACCCATCACCACCCACCGCCCATCACCTCCCACAGTCGCCCATCGCCGCCCTATGCCCACCGCCCGTCACAGCCCGTCACCACCCATCACCACCCCTCACCGCCTGTCACCGTCCTTCTCCTCCCGTTACCAACAGTCACTGCCCGCAACCACCTGTCACCACCCATCACCACCCGTCACCGCCCGCCACCGCCCATCACCGCCCGCCACCACCCGCCACTGCCCGCCACACCCGCCACCGCCCGTCACCGCCCGCCACCGCCTATTGCCCACCGCCGTTACCCGAGCTTGCAGTGCAATAACAGGCGTTGAACGATGGCCAGAGAGCAGAGAAGGAGGTGCGTGGGTCAGGGTGTTCGTTCTGTGGCATGTGAGAGCAAGGCGCTCAATGACGCACAGAGAGCTGAGTGAGAGGAGTGTGTGTGAGATCGTTTGTTTGCGTATCAACAGCCTCGTAGCATGGCAGTGAGGCAGTAAGGCAGTGACGTAGTGAGGCAGCAGACACTTGCACTAGCATTGGAGCAACAGGTCTCTTGAGACACACATGCCTTGAGTGCCTGGGCGTACTAATGGCTTATGCAATTAGCTTGTACAGATACTCACACCTTCCTTCTCGCCTCTCTTTCTATTTCTCCTCACCCTGTCAAATATTCTCCGCCCGCTCCCTGTGAACGTTGGAAGGCACTGTGACCGTTGGAAGGCACTGTGAACGTTGGAAGGAACGGTGATCGTTGGAAGGCACCGTGACCGTTGGAAGGCACGGTGACCGTTGGAAGGCACTGTGAACGTTGGAAGGCACCGTTAACGTTGGAAGGCACCGTGAACGTTGGAAGGCACCGTGAACGTTGGAAGGCACCGTGAACGTTGGAAGGCACCGTGAACGTGGAAGGCACCGTGACCGTTGGAAGGCACCGTGAACATTGGAAGGCACTGTGACCGTTGGAAGGTACTGTGATCGTTGGAAGGTACTGTGAAGTCGTCCCTCCCCTCCCTCTGACCATGCCCCCCTTCCCTTCCCGTCCCGCGGCTCCCTCTCCCCACACCGCCATGCAGGGCCACGAGCACGTATCGCTCATGCGAGGCCTGTGTCTATCTGAAGAGCATACTATTCAAATGGTGGGTCGGCATGACTGGTACGATGAGGCCACCACCAAACTTTTGCCATTCGTGCGTATGCTGAGATACAGGCCCTGCTGATTCTCTTCCCTAGCCTACGCCTGTCACTCTTCCAACGCCTTCCTTGTGCCCTTCAACGTTCATAGTGCCTTCCAACGTTCACAATGCAAGATGGCTCTCCATCCTACCCACAATTAGGCGCCACCCAAACACGTGCTCCACTATCATGCGAGTCCTGGATAGTTTGTTTCATAATGTTTGAGCCAGGAAATTTCTCACGTTATATCATTATTTGCTTGAGACGACCACGGGTAGCCCTAGATAAAAGGGTAAATAGTAAAGTGTGCGAAGTTATTAGTAGTAAAGATGTAGCAGGTTAGGTGTAGTTAAGATATACAACAGCCTCTATTCATGGCCGTGCAGAGAGGTCTTTACGTTTCGTCCATTTTCGTTATGGCGAGAGGAATTCTTAGGGTCAGTGGTGTTGGTCAACAGGGTCCGCAATTCCCTTGATTTGCCAGAATCACACAGCTGGCATTCCACGCTGCAATCGAACACACGTCACCTGAAATTTCGACAACGACATGTGGACAAGGGTAAGTCGATGACGACATCGCAAGTTCTTGATATGCACTCTCTACAGGTTGATTTGGAGGTCGTAACAATTTCGCCATCGCCAAGGCGTTTCGCAGCAATGCTGGTGTTCCGCCAAGATCCCCTCCTGCTCGGCATCATTGCTGGCAAGATTGATTGAACCCCTTGTACCTCTCAATTGCACACTAGCATTTCTTCCTTTGCTCCATTCCTCAGCTTCTCGCTTCATTTCTCTCGTTGCTCGCTCGCCTGCAGCCATCGAAAGCAAGACGGTACTACGCAGATACGAATCTATCAAACTCACGCCCTTCAGCCTCAAAATTCTTCACTGCTGCGTTTTTTTTTCCCTGTGGGGGAAACTATTAAGCCTAGTAAAGAATCAAGGCTGGGTTTCCATTCCTGTGGAAGCGAGCTCGCCATGCGCCCCATCGGCATGGGCGCGGGCGGCGCGGGAAGCCTTTGGCTCGGCGCGCTGATCGTGCTGACGTTTCTCGCCGCGGTTTCTCCCGTCCGCAGCGTCCCTTACGCCCCCTCCCAAGGTGCGTCCACTGCCTGGTCCCTGTGTTCAGCCGCAAACGCTCTGCAAAAAAGCCAGATTTTACTAGGTGAAGTTATGCATTGTACGGTTGGTTTATGAAGCCTGGCAGACTTAAAGCATTTCCACGAAAACCAGTCAGATTCAACATGTGCGCTGGTTCACGGGAGCCTTGTTGTTGTTCACAGATTGAATCGCGGTTTTCCTGTTTTTTCAAAGGATCCAAGTTCAGCCCCGCACACTCCGGGTCCGAATTGGTGACATACTTATTATCTCGGAAACGGCGGTTAATCGGTTTATTGTGGCTACATCACCCGCACTAATACTAATAATAATTGCGTTCGCAAGTGGCTTTTTATATTGACAGATTTGTAACTCAATTTAGCATAATTTCCACCCTCCCAATGAGTATGTCTGGTTGTAAAGGCTCTATCGAGGTTACTTAGCAATTCATGACGTAGTCCTTGAAAAATTACCATCCTATTTCCGCCCCTCCACGGGCAGGACTGATGAGAGTAAAACGGGCCAGTTGGGAGGTTACGGCGAACGGTGAGAGCCATTTGAGCCATTCCCCCTTCCCTCATCCACCCTCATCCCCTCCCTCTCCATCCTGCCCCCCTTCTCCCCCTGCTCGTTCCTGCTCCTCTACCCCTTCCCGCTACCTCCAGTGCAACTCCTGCTGGACTTCCAGCAGGCGTGGGGGCAGAATTTCGCTGGGTGGGTGTCCGGGGGGAACTGCAGCACTGCGAGTTATGTGAAGTGCGATGCCCAGGGCATGGTCACCAGCATGTGAGTGAAGCAACCCTTGCTTGGAATGTGAGTGCACAACCCTCGATGGGCATGTGAGTGCACCAACCCTCGATGGGCATGTGAGTGCACCAAGCCTTGCTGGGCATGTGAGAGAACCAAACCTTGCTCGGCATGTGAGTGCACCAATCCAGTATGACTCTTTACCCTGTACGCCCTTCCAGAACCTTTTTTTTTTCCACTGTTCTCTCATCTGTTACCCCCCTTGTCGCACGTGATTAACTCCACAAACCTCCAGGGATCTAGAGAGCCAGGAATTGACTGGATCCATCCCAAACACTATCGGTAGAATGGTCAGCCTGACATTCCTGTGAGTAACAGCTAATCCGGCACGAATATGACCATGCTCGGTATGTTGTACTTGTGCGTGCATTTCGCCCTAGTGTGCTTGTGTCATGGTCCTATTGTCCCATAGTCTTCTCGCCTCCGTGTTTCCTTCCCCTTTGAACTACATGTTAACTGGATGGATTTTGATGGTCATTGTACGTATGCGCAGCCTAATGGTACATTCTGGGCTCGTGTCATCCCAAATTTCGCTCATCGTTTGCCCCATTCTGAAAGACTCGAAGTTCCGCTCTAGGGTCGTCATGCAAGAGATTGCACATATGAATATGACCATGCAAACAGGACTATGATCAATCACATAGGGGTGTGACTATGCACACATTAGTATGACTGCTCGTTCTTGAATTTCAGCTAGAATTCTACTGGGAAGTAATGACACTCTCATATTGCACTCCATTTCATGTTTTTGCCACCGTTACTTTACACATCATATCAAAGAATGTTGAGCTGCCATTCCCCTCACTCTCAATTTGTCGACAATGTTATTTCTTTAAATCAGTTTGCTTGTATCCTGTCTCCTCGTGTCCTTGTCTCCTTTCTCCTTTCCCTCAGGGATTTACACAGCAATTTACTAACCGGGTCGATTCCAACAAGCATTGCAAGCTTGAGCAGCCTAACGCACCTGTCAGTAACAATGAAAATGATAAACACGATGCTTTGCATGTCCAAGTGCCTCCTTTGGTTGACATGTGTTGGCTACTAGGTTCGTTGCACACATGAAGTGATGCACGCACTTTGTTCTATACACCAATGAGATTTGTTTCAATGTGCTGAGAATGAAGATGGTCATTGTTGCGGATCCCCATCCTGCAAAGCCGTGTCGAAAGATGCATTGTGCATTTGAGGAATAGCGAATTCTTATGCTTGAGAAACATTGAGATACCCACACGTTCATCTGTCACACATATTCTGCAATGTCATGTGCAGTTGTCTCACTATTGTGCCGACCCACCTTCACCCTTTGAACCTTCTGTTTCCCATTTGATGGTCTCCAGGGATCTTTATGGGAACCGTCTCAGTGGCTGGATACCCTCAAGCATTGGTGGTCTCCTCGATCTCCGCTATTTGTGAGCGCCTCTATTGGGTAAAAAAGAGCGCGCATTACCCATTGCCTGTCACCAGTTCCTGTGAAAAATTTCTGCTGCTGTTTTTCCCTACAACTAAGTAAGTGTGACAAGATACAAAACGCTTTTGCTTTGTGCGCACTTGAAGCCTACTGAGATGTGTGGCTCATGCCACAATCATATGGTCCTTATGCCATGCCCTTTTGATATTTCTCTTTGATAATATTGCTTTCATTTCTTGCTCTTTTCTTCTCTCTACCCATGGAACCCTTTGCATGTACCACCAGGGATCTGCGTGAAAATTCTCTGACAGGGTCTATCCTGTCTACCATCGGCGAAATGACCAGCCTCACTTTCTTGTGAGTGTCATGGCAACACACATGTAAAAGCGAAAAAAGGGCATAAGGCGAAGCCGTTCTAGGTTGATGTCTATGGTATAGTTCCTCTGCGCAACAAATGGGCTGGAACGGGCATTTCATGAGTACATTTAGGCTTCCTTGACGCATTGCTGCTGTTGATGGATGCAGGGGTCTGAGCTCGAACTTCCTCACGCAGACCATCCCAGAGACCATCGGGAACCTCATCAACTTGCGACATTTGTACGTTCTCTGATTTCAAAGCGTTATGAAGGAAGTACCTAAAGACCCGAGGTGACACCCAGAGAGACCCTGTTCCCAACAGAGTTCTCATTTTCATGCTCTGGTTCGCAACCTGGTCTTTCAATCTGTGTAGGCTAATCTGAATTTACATGCTAAACACAGGGTAAGCCTAGTGTGTGCAATGCTGTCTTTCGCATCTTCCACCCACCACCAGACACCTTATGAACAACAGTTTAAGTGGCAGCATTCCGGACTCCATCAGCAAGCTTGTAAATCTTACAGAACTGTATGTTATCATTTCTCCTTTTTTATGTGCGACCCATTGTCATTCGCCATGTCTTCTATGCATGAAATGTTTTTGTATCTTTTATAAATTCATCTGGCCACAAGGAGTGGTGGAACTTGCAAGGATTTATACTCTAACGGGAGCTTCTAGTGAACGGAGCTACACTAGCTCCAGATTTCACTAAGGAGCAGAAGGCTTGTAGACTTGTTAGACCAGCTTGCAAAAGGCTTGTACAAAGAGGGGCCAGACAATTACTGCCTCTAGGAGCCTTGCAAGTACCTCAACTTGAGGTTCTCAAGTCTCAATCAGATCAAGAAAAGTACCCCTTACCTTGCGTGCGACAAATTCTTGTGACAGCTGTCTGTTCCATAAACCATGGAATGGAAAACGAGCCTTCTAAAGTGCTATGCTATGCAGGAAAGTGCTTATCTTTCTGACCAATAGTCATGACTATCTTCGAAAAGCGACCTTCAGTGCTGCTTTGGTGTGCATCCATGCCTGCGTGTTTGTGTGGGTGGGTGGGGGGAATTGGGGGAAGGGGAAGGGGGGGAGGAGAGTTTGTTTTAATTGTAGGGATGTCAGACGAAACAATCTCACAGGCCACCTATCTCCAACAATTGGCAGTCTTACCCGTCTTTCATACTTGTACGTTGATCCGATATGATGGCTAGACCGCACAATGGTCCCATCCAAGGGCAACCCCGGAATGCAAAGATAATTGTGCAATGGGACTCAATATGAGGATGAAAACTCCATTATTATTCTTTGAGACTCACTCGCTGTGCATGTGCAGGTTTATTTCTGGAACAGCACTCACATGCCCACCGGATAACAGCACTTGTGTGGTCCCACAGAATACATCAAGCGCTTTCTGTTATGAGTGCCTCTCCTTCTGCTCAACATGTGACATGGGGGCACCACCACCCTCTGCGCCAGCCTCGTTCCCCCAAAGTGAGTCACCAACCCCTCAGTCCACCCGATAACCCCCACTCCATGGTTCTCTCATTGGATATCCCCCTTGAGTTGCTTCCCACGAGCCAAGCCTGGAATTTCATTTGCCGGGATCACTATAAGCGCGTGTCCTCGTGCTCCACGTATCCCTCCAGCACTCATGCCACTGATCCACATGATGGGGGAGGGGGGGGGGGGTTTGGGGGTGGCTTGTATTGAGAAGTTTCAGGACACGCCTTAAAGGTGGTGGGAACTTGAGTAGGAGAGGAAGGGCATAAATTAATGCGAGTGGCCGCCTCATCTCCCCTTGCCCCTGCTCCACCCAACATCCTGCTCTTCCATGCTTCCCCTCCCTCCTCCTCCCAGCCCTCCTTCTCCTGCCCTGTACTACTCCCCCTTAATTCCCCTCTCCCCCGCCTATGTCTGCAGTGCAACTCCTGCTGGACTTCCAGCAGGCGTGGGGGCATACTTTCGCTGGATGGGTGGCTGGTGGGAGCTGCAGCATTGCAGAGCATGTGTCGTGCGATGGTCAGGGCATGGTCACCAGAATGTGAGTGCACCAACCCTTGCTTGACATGTAAGTGCATCAACTCTATGAATCTTTACCCTGTACGCCCTTCCAGAATCCCTCATTTGCCCCTCTTCGCTCCTCTGTTACCCCCCTCGTGTCACGTAACCACCTGCACACTTTTTTCAGGAGTTTGAATGGTGAGGGCTTAACCGGATCCATCCCATCTACTATCGGCAGCATGGTCCGCCTGACTTACCTGTGAGTAACAGCTAATCAGTCATGAGTATGATCATGCATGATAGGGTCAACCTAAACCGCCTGACTTACATATCTGGTTCACTTAATCTCTAACTGCACTTCTACTGGAACCATGGAAATCAATGAGACCTTCAATGAGCATATTGCAGCCCATTCCTTGTTTTTGCCACCGTTAATTGCACACATACCAAAGAAGATTGAACTGCCATCAGTCTCGCTCTCAACTCCTCGACTATATGACTTTTCTACGTCATTTTGCTTGTGTCCTTGTTTCCACGTGTCATGGTCTCGTATTCTTGGCTCGTGTCTGTGTCTCCTTTTCTCCTTGTCTTACCAGGGATTTACACAGAAATTTCTTGACTGGATCAATCCCAAGAGGCATCGCAAGCTTAAGCAGCCTAACGCACCTGTCAGTAACCAATAACACGATGCTTTTCAAGTCTGAGTGCTGTTTTCCTATGACGGTTCCCATGACGAGTGCTCGCTAACAGGTCTCATGACGGTTCCTTGTCGTCTCTTTCCAGTGCACATTGTTGCATGCACAGTGTGTTGCACGCACTTCCTAGTGATAATGTGCACTTTCTTCCACACACAAAGGAAGTTTCGTTTTTTTTTTTTTTTTTTTTTTTTTTGTTTTGTAGAATTAGAAGAAAGATACGCATTGATGCAGATCCTCTTCCTGCCAAGCCCTGTCCAAAGATGCTTAGTCATTGGTTGTAACGTTTGTGCACTAGCTACTCATGCTCCAGAGGCATCAAGATACCCATGTCCTTATCTATCACACACGTTCTGTAATGTGATGTGCAGTTGTCACAATATTGCTGACAAGCCTTCTCGCTTGCCTGTACTTTCTGGTCATTTCCCATCCCATTTGATGGCTTTCAGGGATCTCTATGGGAACAAACTCAGCAGCTGGATACCCTCAAGCATTGGTGGTCTCCTCGATCTCCGCTACTTGTGAGTGCCTCGACCAGATCTAGAACAGTGTATCTTACCCCATCATTTGTCACCTATTCCTGTGACCATTTTCTATTACCGTTTTGCATTACAAAGTGAGTGCCACATCATACAAAATTTATTAGCTCCATGCAGACGTGAAGACACCGATTGGGATGTTCGGCTTGTGTCAGTCATGTGGTCAATATGACATGACCTTTGGATATTTTCTCTGATTCATTCCTTCTCCATTGTAAATACCACCAGGGATCTGGGTAGAAATTCTCTGACTTGGTCTATTCCAAGTACCATCGGCAATTTGACTCGCCTCACTTACCTGTGAGTATCATGGCAGCAAGACAGTCAATGCGAACAAGGCATAACGCCAATTCCCACTTCTTTCTGGGTCAAGTTTTTTCGTATGGTTGCTGTGTGCATCAAATTGGCCGGGAATGGCATTTTGTGAGTACCTTTGTCCCTCGTTGATGCATTGCTGCCGTTGATGGATGCAGGAGTCTAAGCTCAAACGCCCTCTCACAGACCATCCCACAGTCCCTCGGGAACCTCATCAACTTGCACGACTTGTACGTGCTCAATCCTTTTTATTGTTGCACAAAGATACACAAGAAGAGTGCCTACACAAGCTGACATCCAGCAAGAGGAGATCCGATGCCCAACAGGGTCTTTTTCACAACCATGAATCTTGAACAATCCTAATCCCAATTTATACTGGCTAGTATATTATCTATGCTCAGTTCACGTGGTAAGCCGTGTTTGTGCAACGATGCCTTCTGTGTCTTCGCCCCTCCAGATACCTCCGCAACAACAGTTTAAGAGGCAGCATTCCCGACTCCATCAGCAATCTCGTTAATCTCACCCTAGCGTACGTCCTCATTTTCCCTTATAAATGCTCGAATAGCAGGTTGCAGGCCTGGTATACTCAAAGTGCATTGGTTGCAGGGACCCCCTTGCCAAGCTGCTTCACTCACATTCCCAAACTTACATGAGCGGCTGCTGAGGCAACCTTGGCAGGCCGACAGCCCCTCTAGTTTCTAGGGGAGCAGAAAACGATTGCGTCTCTCGAGTTTCGGGTTTCAAAAATCGATTCACAAACTACACTGCCATGCAAACTGTAAAAAATCTCTCTGTTCAGTCGTCAGGGTGCCCAAACAGGGCTGTTTGTGAGTGGAGTTAAGTTTCAAGTCATCATACCCTTGTGCACAAGCAACAAAAAAGCAAGGGCCCATTTTCGTTGAAAATATTTTTTCCACTCCGATTTCACGTGAGCCATCCGGAATCTACCGCCCCACCTACCTCAACAGTGGAATATACAGCTTGTCGTTTGGGCTTCAAACTCTGAGTCATAGCCATGCACTATTTGACCTTCGTATGGAATGTTATAGCATCATTGACAAACTACTTTCGACACACACAGTGCATGCGTACGAGTGTGTGGGTGAGTATGTGCGTCTGTGTGTGTTTGTGTGCACGTGTGTGTGTGTGCGCACGTGTTCCTCCATTTGTATGTGTGTGTGTGTGTGTGTGTGTGTGTATGTGTGTGCATGCGTGTGTGCATGCGTGTGTGTGTGCGTCTGTGTGTTTGAACGTCTGTGTGGGCGTCTGTGTTTGTGCGTGTGTGTGAGTGTTGCAGGTCTTTCAACCTGAACAATCTCACTGGCCACCTCCCTCCAGTGATGGGCAGCCTCAACCTTCTTTCACTCTTGTACGTCATCCCAAAGGTCATCCACAACCCTGGCACACTAGTCCCATCCAAGGTCGACCCCGGAATGCAGAGATCTTTGTGAAATGGGATTCAGTACACAGATGGAATACAATCGTTTTCCGCGGATAAGGAGACGACTTTTGAGGCGCCTCAAAAGTGGGATTCCATACACGGATGGAATACAATCGTTTCATTTGAAGAGTTTCAGGAACACGTTCTTTGTATGTGCAGGAACATATCCGGAACAGGACTCACATGCCCACCAGACCACAGCAACTGTGTGGTCCCACAGCACAATTCAACCGCTTTCTGCAGGCAGTGCCCTGACTTCTGCAACACATGTGTCATGGCATCACCCTCGACTCCACCCTCTGCTCCACCCTCTTCCCCCCAAAGTGAGTCACCTCCTCCTCCCACGTCAACCCCCTCTTCATGGCCTCTCTCCCGTGGATATCCCCGTTGAGCTGTTTGCCACGATCTGTGCTCAGTCATCTATTTATTAGGACTTGAATCACCCTCCCAAAACCTACCTGCAAGCACATCTAGTGCCCCACTCTTGATTTTCACTGTCCCTGAAAATCCTTCGTGCTTGCAGCCAATCCAACAGGAGCAACCATCAGCAGCATGTCTGCTCCACGTGTCCCTCCCTCCTCACGTCTCGCCATCATAGGAAAGATGGTGGACTATTTTCCCTTCTCTCATGAATGCTGGTCGACTAATTTCCCCTTCACTGCACCGCATCCCTATGTTGGAAAATACGCGTACTGCGTTTTATACGCTAGCGTATATACGCTTGCGTATATACGCTATACGCTTGGATTTGGGGTCCAATACGGCAGGAATACGCATGCCCGGGCAGGAAAAAAGGTTTGCCCGGGCAGGGTAACAAAACCAGGGGGCAGCAAGGAAGCCATGATGGTAGCGGCTAGGCTAGGGTTTCTGAAAACGTGACTCTCAAATGAGAGGCATTTTCTGAGGGGTCGAATTTTGACCTGCCAATTCCCTCCCTTTCACCGCACTCAACCCCCCCGTCTACAAAGTCAAATTGGCTTCCAGCCAACCAACTCCCTCCCTTTCACCGCACTGAACTCCCACCCATCTACAAACTCCAACCTTTCCTCACAAATGCTCGACTCTCCCCCCCATCATCTCCCCCATCACTTTGGTAGAAGACTAACAAGCACCGTAACTCGCGCAATCGCCGCCACCTAGCTAAGCACACCACCGTTTCGCTTCAGAGCTGAGATTTGGACGGAAATGGGGAACGGCAAACACGGGATGGCTTTCAATCACGTACAGAGCAGGCTGGGCTATGGGCAAAAAAGAATGGGCGAAAAAACCGCGACGTCGCGAAGTCGCGGAAAAAAAAAATATAAGTTTTTTTTTTCGCCGGGCAGCCCGGGTATCGCGTATCGCGTATTCCAAGCGTATCAGCGTATTGCGTATATTCGCAAGCGTATATACGCAATACGCAAAGCCTTCTGTGCGTATATTCCAACATAGCTCACTGTATCCCTGCTACCATTGGATTGGCTCATTGAAAGCAATGGAGGAAGTGTGTTGCCTTGCGTATCCTCTTTTTTGTTTTATATATTATATATCTCCTTTTGCTTCCCTTATTTTGCTCACATCCCTCCTCTCCTCTGCCTTGCTCCTATGTGCTCTCTTATCACGTCCTGCCTTTTCTCTTTCATCCTCATGTTTCTTCTTCTTCCCACGTATTCGTTTTTTTTTTCTCCCCATTTTCCCTCCTTTCCATTCCATTTGGCTCGTAACATTTGCATCGGTTTCCTCTCGCTTCACATCATATCCACTTATTTCCCGCTTCGCTTTCATTTTCCCTCTCCGCACCTCTCACTTCATCCTCATTCTTTTCAGTGTCTCCCCCCCCCCCCTTTTCTTCTTTTACTCGTCGCTGCCTCTCCCATGCCGGCTGCATGCCCTATTCTAGGCTTGAGCAACGGGTCGGGTCGGGTCGGGTAACCCGACCCGAACCCGACTTTTTGACGGGTCGGGTCGACATTTGCGGAGGGTCGACCCGAACCTCGGGTACCCGACCCGACCCGACCCGACCCGACCGACAAAACCCGACCCGTCGGGTCAGCTTATTACCCGTCCCTGCCCCTATGTTAACCCGACCCGACCCGACCCGAAATCGGGTCAGGTAGTACCCGACCTACTAAACCCGGGTCGGGTTGGCATTTCCTGAACTCCGACCCGACTTGACCCGACCCGACCCGACCCGACCCCGACATCGGGTAGGGCAAAGTCGGGTCGGGTCGGGTCGGGTCGGGTTCATGCTCAAGCCTACCCTATTCCCTATATGACCCCATCCTTTGAGGTTGTGAAGAAGATCTCTCTCCTCACTTCTCCTAACCCCATCTACCCCTTGCTATGGCCGCCGCACATTCCAAGGATAATGTTCCATCACACTGCCATCATGCTTCTGTAACATTCTAAAGAATTTCGCCTATAAATACAGCTGCTGCCTATCTGCTGTTGTAGGGATTAGCAAAGGCCGAGTCAAGCCTCGATTTCCCCAGCAGGCGAGTTGACTCCGACTCATTTCAGTCCAAATCGGGCAGATGGGAAATTTGACTCGGTTCACCTTTTAGCGTCTAGTCAAGGCTAACTCAAGCGAGTTGGCCAACTCGGCTCGAGATTCGAGCCTGGCTTGACACGTTGGAGATAGGGGGGCATTTGAGGTCCCCTCAGTTGACTCCACACCCGAAATCCTTCGGAGTTGAGTTTTCGTCGTGACTCGCCCCAGTCTACTCGACTCCACTGGTGCCAGAAAACGAACTTGACTCGTCAAAACGATGAGTCAAAGTCAACAAGTCAAACCAACTCGACGCGTTTGCTCTTCCACAGCTATTCATTTCCATGCAATCTTGAACTCCCTGCCTTTATCTATCGCATGCCTCATTCGTGTTCATCACAGAGATATTTACACCAATCAGCTCACTGGCTCAATCCCTGCTGAAATCGGTAGTCTTTCAAGACTAATTCACCTGTAAGGCCTATACAAGGTTAAAAAATACGGTTTCCGGAAATTACGGTTGTTTTTTCTGGTCAGTGTGGGTAACGCCCCCCCCATTTTTTTTATACAGCATGTTGGATAAAAAACAAATCCCTGGAATGGTGCCTTCACGTCTAGGGGCATTGTGTAAGGATTATTAGCTATCATGGCATCGACAAACATGGCCTTTGCAAAGGTACGAGCTCAGTTCGGAATACAGGAGATGGTGGGATCTGGAGTTGAATTCTCGTAGCTTTGAGGTAGATTCGGCTAAGAAATCGCGAATTTAGACGTGTTTTAGGAACCTGAGTAGAGCTGTTTGACATTTGTATCTCACGCCGTGGAAAGTTGGGTCGAGAAACGATAGGAAGGGAACCCATTTCGCATCTGTCTTGCTTGGGAAATGCGCTTCGAGAGCAGGTTTCATGCACTGTGTGAAACCACCCTACTGGGCGCGAAATGAACAAACGTTTCGTGACGAAGTGGGTGTTCATTTCGGAACGGACCAGCAAGATTTGCAAAATGTGCGGTTCGAGGATGGGGTGAAGTTGCGCTTCGGGAAGGCGTCTACCGCAAACATTCAGGGCCTCGCGTGTACACCCAACCCAGCGTAGACTTGAGCATTTTGCCCAGTCGGGTCGCGGGTACCCGACCCGACCCGACATTTTGGCCGGGTCGGGTAATAGGATTTTGACGAATTACCCAGCCGGGTCGGGTCGGGTACTCGGGCCGGGTAATGCATACCCGTTACCCGAGAATTACCCGAAATGTCGGGTAATTTAGTATCCGTCGGGTCGCGGGGGGTACCCGACCCGACTTCGGGTTTGTTACTCCAGGTTTGCTGAATTTTGCAGCCACTTAGGGGTACCCGGGTAACATTACCCGACTTCAATTAAATGTGGGTCGGGTATACCCGACCTGCCAGACGGGTACCCAATTACCCGGTATTAAAATGCCGGGTCGGGTAACAGATCTCCAAAGATTACCCGGAAATTACCCGAACCGACCCGACCCGGACCCGATCGCGGGTAGGGCAAAACCGGGTCGGGTCGGGTAATTAATTGCCCGGTTTTGCTCATGTCTAACCCAGGGCATTTGATAAGAAATACGACAATTGAGGGAAACACATACGGTAAAAAAAAAACGGTTGTATTTCTTAACCAAGCCAAAGAAACAGCTTTCCAACCGTTTTTTTTCTTCGTACTAACGGCCGTTTAATTCGATACCGTATTATATTGGACCTCTCCTTCCCTCTTCATGTAAGGCTTCCTTCCCTCTCCAGTCGACCTACCACCACCCTCTCCAATATTGTAGATTGCATTGTTCATGCTTATACATCCAGAGTCACATGACCATTTGCGACTTAAAGAGGTGCATGCCTGTAGCATAGAGATATCTTCACTGTAGTACGTGTTGTCTACTTTTTACTGATTTGTTAAACTCCTGAAATGGAAATTTCCTTTTACATTCTCCAATACTCCTGAAATGCGAAATTCCTTGATGACAAGGCCAGTTAGAGAAATTGCAGAAGTTTGATTTTGCGACCACCTTGGTGGTTGGGCAGAAGTTTGATTTTAGTTTCCTGTTCTCCTCTCTCGTCCTTGACAAAGAGGAAGTGAGAGATAATTCGTCTGTTGGTGAATCCTTTTTTGTTGGCAATTTCTGATTGCTGATTAGCTGTCATAGTAAGTTTGAACTGAGGTAACTTTGCAATATCTGCCTCGTCGAGTAAGTAGTCCCATTGTTTGCTCAACGGGTTCAAGGCGTAAGACTGATCATTGATTTGCTGTATCACCCGCTTTATCAACGTTGATGTAGCTGATGAGTTCGAGGTTGGTAGTCTTTGCCGTAGGATGAGTTCGACCAATCTCTCGGGGTTGAACTAGACATGTTCAAGGGATGGGCTTGGGCCGGCCCGGGACGGGCTGGTAGTCACATGAATTTTGACCCGAGCCGTGTGGGCTTGTGGCGTTTCCTCCCCCTTAAAGCCGCGGTACACATTCAACAAAATCTCGATCAAGCTATAAACATTTGAAAGAGGGTTACTGGGTTGTTTCTTCCTCTCGAGCCTAGGTAAATTTTTGAAAGAGCGAGATGTGGCAATTGTGTACTGAAATTGCCATAACCACGCAGGGAGTTTTGCCCTGTCCCGCCCTTCCGATTCCCCCCGCCCTGTGATTTCGTTCCCCCCACCCCACACTATTCCGACTCTTTTCCCGCAACTCCGTTCCCCTCCTCCCCTTGCATTTCCGAAAATTTCCCTCGAAGTCAGGTTCGTTCCCATCCGCAATTCCGTTCCCACAGTTTATCTCCCCTTAACGAAACGCCCCCTCATTTTGAGTCAGTTTTTTCCTCTCGCCTCTCACCCTCTCACCCCCCATTTCGAAGTCAGTTTTTCCATCTAAGTCCCGTTTCCTTGACCTCCAAATTGCCACCCAAGCCGCGTTGAATGTGTACCGCGGCTTTAAGACTAGGTTCGGGCGGATCTGGCATTTTGCAGTTCCATCTAAGACTAGGTTCTCACTACAGAATTTTTGCCTATAACTGAGGGGGTTTGGTGTACGGGTGGGAGATTCTAGGAGGATGGTGAGGTAGGAAGACAGGCCTGGTAGCTAGGGTCAAGACTCTTGACTCGCACGGCTCCGGTCGCTCAGGTCGTCATGGGCCGGGCGGGGGACGGCCCAGCTGGGACCTCGAGCCACAAGAGGCCTATGCCTGCCTACCGACGGGCTGGGCCGGGCCGGCTGCCCAGAGCCCATCCCTCTGAACATGTCTAGTTGAAACGATGTGCTGAAGCGTGCGCCGTAGATGAGCACGGCAAGTTACGATGGAAGCAGTTTGCGACATTTGAATATAGCACAGGGTCGCATGAGTACCGACCGAGCTTCAATGCCCATCACCCGGCCACCATGCTTCTGCAACATTTTTAGGAATTTCGCCCCGATGTCGTCGCGTCGCTCCCCTCCATCCATGGGAACTTGGACTTCCGTCCTTCATCTAATGCATGCCTCATGTGTGTTCATCACCACAGGGATCTTTCTGCCAATCGGCTCACTGGATCAATCCCCACCGCAATTGGCAATCTTACAAGCATTTGGAATCTGTAAGACCTCTGCGTTGTTGTGCACATCTACCTCCCTTCTTCTCCAATGCTTTTCTCCTGATTTTTTGTCTTCTCCATGTTACCTGCTCTTCTCCAGTCCACTTACCACCACCCTCACCTTTACTGTGCACTGCATACTTCATGCCAATCGGGTGCACGGCACTGGATTGGACCCCTTGCAATAGACATGGGCAGCATGCCGAGCCTGGCTCGACTCGGCTCGACTCGACCTCGAGCCAGGTAAAAGTCGAGCCGAGCCGACTCGAGACCCGAGCCGGCTGCCCCAAAATGGTTGGCTCGACTCTGGGGTTCAGGGTCGAGCCAAGGGTCGGCTCGACCTTGACTTGGCTCAGCTCGACTCGCCAAAAGGATTTTCGTCTTCCATTGCGGTCGAATTTTGACCCCCCGCTGGCAAGCCGTGTGCTTCAGGAGTCGTGCCAAATTCGAGCCAAAGTCGAGCCGGCTCGACTTTGGCTCGCCATGAAATTTGCGACGAGTCGAGCTGAGCGGCGCGGCTCGACCGGCTCGACTCGGCTCGACTCGGGTCGAGCCGGCCAAAAAAAAATCCCGGCTCGACTCGCCAAAAAGGCGAGTCGAGTCGAGCCGAGTCGAGCCAGGCTCGGCATGCTGCCCATGTCTACCTTGCAACGTGAAATCGTCAGATTTGAGGAATCTTGATCCCAGATTTGGAGGGAAACGGGATGCCCACGGAAGTTCTTGTAGGGCGAAGTGGCTACAGAACTCTTTTTGATCCTCCGTTTTTCCCGTAGCTAAGGGCTAGTCGACTGTAATATTAGCTTAGTAGCTCTATCCCTGCTACCACTGGCTCATTGAACGCATTGGAGGAAGTGTATGGCCTTTTGCTTATCATCCCCGTTATGCTGCTTTCACCTCTTCTGCTCACCATCTATCCTCTGCTTCTCTGTTCGATCTTCTCACCTCCTCTCTGCTCCATTTCCTCCGCATTCTCTCCACGTCCCATCCTCTCTATTGCACTTGACCTGAATTCGTCTTGCCCCTCTATTTTGTTTACACCTAACTTTGTGTTCTCCTTTCTTTCCTACTCTCACCTTTTGTCCTTTCCAGTCCTTTGACTCAAACCTCTGCAAATTCCTTTCCTCGCGCCGTTCATCGCTATACAGCTTTTCTCATTCCATCCATCCTCACCTCACCCTTCCTTTTTCTATTTTTTGCCCCTTTTTCGACTCCACCCTCTCTCCTCCTCTTCCATACATCCACACCCAATGTGTGTATGCCAAGCCTTGGAGCAGTTGGAGAAGACCTCGTCCTCACTTTGCCCCTGTCCATCCCCTCTGATTGTCTACGCCATTCCAGGAACAACGTCCATCACCCATCATGCTTCTGCATCACTTTTAGGAAATTTGCCCCGGTGTTGTTGCTTCCCCCCATGGGAACTTGGACTCCCGTCCTTCATCTACTGCATGCCTCATTTCTGTTCCTCATCACAGAGCTCTTCGTCTCAATCAGCTCACTGGATCAATCCCTGCTGAAATCGGCGACGCTACTAACCTAGTAATCCTGTAAGACTTCTGCTTTGTTGAGCACACGTACCTACAAATCTTAGGGATCTGTAAGGCCTCTGCCTTGTGCACTGCAATCTCTGCCCGTCCTCTCAGACTCTTCCTCCTTGTGATGCCAGTCCTGAGTCAATTGACCCTTCTTTCTTTTTACCCTCTCGTGATGAGGTCCACCTACCACCACTTTCTCCTTTGCTGTATTTTGTGTGCTTAGTGTGCACAAGATACACAAGATCTGAGGATACTGAATCAATCAAGACATGAAGGACATGTGCATAGATCACCACGTCCAACAAGAATCCTTCTCACTTTCTGTTCGCTGGTGGATAAGGGCATTGTTTTGCTGGTGTCTAGAGGTCAGGGTTCGACTCTCACCTAGGCACAGCTTCTGGCGACTACAGTCGTGGTGAGGAAAGTGTTTGTGCAAAGGTAGCACTGCGAATGTGTCTGTTCGCAAACAGAGTAAATGATTCAGGGTAGGCGGTATCGCAGAGGGGATGGCAGCATTGGCAGAAAACAGGCCCTGCGTGACCAATGAGGACGTTTCTCTTCGTTGGTCCCATTGGTAGCAATTTGAGGTGAGACGCACTGTCTGCAGATATTCACAAAAGCTAATCCATTCACTGTGATCCCACTCAGTTCTTCCGTGTAGATGAGTGGGATCATACTAGATGTCAGCTGTAGCAATGATATAGGGAATAGATCATCACTATTCCTCTGCTATTTTGGTCGAGTGTGCTCCCTCTCCTTTCTTTGCATTTCTGTTGCTGCTAGTCTTGTTTCCACTCATTTGGGTCGAGCGTATCTGCCTCTCCTGCAGATGGTGTGGCAGGCAAGCCCCACTACTCCAAATAACCCTCAGTGGGAACCTGGCCCATCAGTGCAGGCCAGGCCAAAGGAGCCCCTGGTGTTCCATGTTGGAAAGATCTTTCTCATCTGATGCCTCCTCTCATCTCGTTTTGTCCTCTGATTTCCCTCCATAAAACAATTTCTCCCCTTTCCTGCTTCCCTCCCACACTGGCTGCTCCTCAATGTCCTTCATACCAAAAGTTACACAGTGCGTAGAGTACGGCCGGTGTTTCTGTGCCCTGTGTCCATCAAACCATGTGCAGCGCATGCCAGAGTCGTCCATCCAGCGGAGGCACACTCATGATGCCGCTATGTGTTGCGGACCTCACCACAAATTGGTTTTTGTCCATATTTGGCATTGATGGATGAATCTTTTGAAGAGAACGGGTGGTAAGGGAGAACGGAAGTATTCCACTCTGCGTGGTTGCACATAATTTATGTCATCCGGTCTTTGCCCGAGCACCTGCCTGCCAGGGACATGGGGAACAACCAGCTCTCTGGAACCATTCCTGACTCCATCAGCCGCATGACCTTGCTGAGAGAGATGTACGCCCAAGATGTTTATTTTATTTCCTCCCCAAGATGTTTGACTTCCATCCCATTTTTTTTTTGTTTTCCATCGCAAGTAGACATGGGAAAAAAAAATCGCATCGCATCGCATTTAACCACGTTTTTGCGATGGCGATGTTTTTGTTTTTGTTTCTGTTTTTTTTAAATCATCGCGCGATGCGATGAATTCATATCGCGCGATTTAATTTAAATCGCATTTTAATCGCACTTAAAAAACGCGATTTAAATGCGACATGCGATTTTTAAAAAATCGCGCGCGATATTGTACTGAAACCCACTCTGAAACCCACTACGAAACCACACTGGTTATTTGCACTCTATCTTACGACTGCCCGTGAGTCAATTTCCCCGCAGCCAAGGTTTTTTTCTGTTTTTTTGGGGTGTTTTTTTATTCTGTTTTGGAACGCGATGCGATTTAAAATCGCATTGCGCGATTTAATTAAATATCGCATGCGGTTTTTTAATACATCGCGGGTAAAATGCGATGTGCGATTTCTTTTTTGGAAAAATAAATCGCGCGATGCGATTTAAAATCCCATCGCTTTTTTAAACATCGCACCTGCATGCGATGCGATTTAAATCGCAATCGCGTTTTGATCATGTCTAATCGCAAGATGGCTGTCGTTGCCATTGTTTCCTTGGCAGCGTGATGGCTGCATCCCTAACTTAAGTGCCTCCCATTAACCATGTGCTCGTCTTTGCCTTGTTGACCTCCTCTGCTCATTTTTGCTGGTTTCTATCAGCTGTCAGCTCACCCAGTCAATCCCACCTTCCTTGCCTCTGAAGCCCACTTCGTCTCACCATTCTCCACAGCTCAGCAGAGCCACGCTCCATTCTCCTCGTTTTCTTCCTGTCTCTACCACTCCCCATCTCTTGTCATCCCTTTTTCTTCCAAACCTTCCTGTCTCTTCCCTATGCTTCAGGTATCTTGGCAGAAATCGCTTGACAGGGCCCATCCCTCCATCCATGAGAGTATTGAAAGGACTTAGTTTCCTGTCAGTATTGCTACGCCTCTGTTTCTCCTCAACCTCGGACCTCATCTTTGCCACTTCTCATGAGCTGAGTCTTGGTTGGCTGCGACTCTCATCTGTGTGCACACGCCTATGCACCTCCTCTTGTCTCTTCTACCTGTTAATACGGGCTCCACAGATAACATTGACACTGACGTCTAGAATTCGTTGGATCTGCTAAACTCTCACCATTCGCTAGCATTTTTAAGGCCAACTAATCTCTCACTTGCATACTTGAACACACCAGACCTTGTGTTTATTCCCCTCTTGCGCTGATTTTGGGTCTTCATGTAGTGTAATAAGTGTCATTTCGAGCCCCTTATAGTTTCCTCCGATTGCACAAAAGCCTCTATTGTGCTCCAAGCTGACACTTTCTGAATACCTGCTGCACATCTCTGTTCATAAACTATTCCCTGAGTGCTCTTTTTGTGACAATCCGTGGCAGAAACCTAGAGAAAAACGAGTTGGAAGGGGACATACCAGACTTCTTTTACACATCCAGGATGCGCCAGCTGTAAGAAGACCCGCTTCCTCACTCTGTGACCTTCCTTGCCATCGCCTCTGTTTCCCTTCGAATAGTAGACCATGTTCTTGTTTCATAGTTTACTTGCTTGTTGCTTCTTCGCGCTGAGAATGTAGCCTCAGAGCATGTCTGCTGCAAGCTACTGTAGCCTCCTGGTCGCTGCATGTACCTGCGCAGGTCCCTCGGCATGAACAAGTTCACAGGACATATTCCTTCATCAATCGGCAAAATCACGGAGCTCTATTTTCTGTGAGTTGTAGCCTCCTTCTGGAATAGAGGGCCTGTGAAATTTGGGAGAAGAGAATGGTTTAGAAAAGGGCAAGAGCCCAGATTATACAAGCAAGAGTTGGTAAACTGTGGTCAGGCATGGGCAAGGGACAGGTATGGTCCGTGTTGCCCTGGCCCGTCCATATAAAGGGACAGCCTTGGGTCGGTCTGGCCGCCACCCTGGCCCGAGACCCGTCTGAAGTGGCATTTCGCTTGCGAATGCGTGCGGATTTGGCATTTTGCCGCCTGATCTGCGTGGACAGATTTCGTTTTGAGCAAAGATTCGATCTTAAGGTCTGTTCACGAGCCTCCCGGCCCGCCGGTCCATCCCGGCCCATCGATGACGACGACGATGGAGCGGACAGACTGGGCTGTCCTGTCCACTGGCCTGTCCCTCTTTAACAACCGGGACACACGTAAGAACGATGCTTCTATCTAAGCATAATGCATTTTACATAGAGAGATACAACTATTCCAACACACCCTCTTAATTGCCCGAAGCAAGACAGGGGTGGAAGTAACACCCCCTGAAGGGATACACCGCCAGCTAGCAAGGGCCTTCCAGAGAGAGAGAGGGAGAAAGGCAGCCAACATCCAGCAGTGTGCCGAGAAAGCCATGCCCACGTGGAAGCAGGCCAGGGTTGCTAATGCAGAACCGGCAGCCAGCCACGCAGAAGCGCACATAGCGACCAAGCCGAGCCGATGCGAGAGGGTGCCGTTGAAAGGAAGAGTGGAAAGGAAGAGCAGGCGCAATGGAGGATGAAGAGCAAGGGAAAGGGTGGGGGGGGGAAGGAGGAGTAGAGGTTAGGGGAGAGGAGAGAGGAAGTGGAGAAAGGGAAAGAGGAAGCGCCTTATGAAAGGAGGGAGGAGAGGGAGTAGGCATGAGCATGGCGCCCGCGGGCCGGGCTGGCCCGTGGCCCGGCCCGGTTTTGGCCGGGCACGGGCCGCCCATTTTTTAGACTCGGCCCGATCTTTGGCGGCCCGGCCCGGCCCGGCCCGCCCCCAGCCCGCCCCTGGCCGCCTTGGCCCGCCCCGGCCCGTATTTTGCCCCTGGCCGGCCCTGGCCGCCCCCGGGCCAAGGCCGGCCTGACCCCTAAAGCCGGGCATGGGCCGGAAAGTTCCCAAGGTTGGCCCGACCTCGGCCCGGCCCGGCCCGGCCCGAGGACCGGCGGCCCGACCAGGGCCGGGCCGGGCCGGGCTGGGCCAATGCTCATGCCTAAGAGGGAGAGGCCGGCCCTGATATGGAGGGGCAGCAAGCATGAGGGAGGAGGAAGGGAGAGGAGGAATCTCCCCTAGGTAAGGGGAGAGAGGGGGATTGGAATAGGTGGAAGGGAGGAAAGAGGAGAGGGAGAGGAGGTGGAGTGTGTGAGAAAACGTGAGCTTAGAAAAGTTGATTACAGGGAAAGCACAAGGGTTTACATAGGAATGTGAGAAAAGGGAGGAAGGGAGGGTCGGTTGGGAGTTGGCCAAGATTATTGGCCCCCACCAATAATTCTGTTTGGGATTATTGGTGGTCCAATAATTCTGGTGGGAATGATTGCGGGTCCCAAATAGTTGTGGAACCAACCAAATTGGGAACCCACCCTCCAATTAGACATGGTCAAAACGCGATGCGATGCGATATCGCATCGCATTCTTTCTTATCGCGCACTATATCGCAGCGATGCGATGTCGCATCGCTGCGATATGTAAAAAAATAATCCGAAATGGCATATCGCGTTTTTGGGGGCGATATTAAAAAATATCGCCTAAAAAAAGCGATGCATCGCGCGATGCGATATAATATCGCATCGCATTTAGGGGCCACTGTTTTCCCGCCCTTAAAAAACGTGTTCCCACACCACAGGGCACGACAATGGTGGCTCTCCTAGGTTTGCGCGGAATTAGGTAAGTGAATTGACGGGAGATGGGAATATCATGGTCCCTCTCTCATGTGGAGCTTGTTTGAGGGGACGGGGTTGGATTCTGTAGATGCAGGGGATTTTAGTGCGATTGAAGTGGTGGAAATTGGTTGGAGTCCAACCAATTGACTTTGGGGGTCGAGATTTCAGTCCAACCCCCTAAATCCCTTCAACCGCACACCACCACATCCCATTTAGAAAACCCACTCGCCCACCACCCACCACCAACCATAACAAATTTGAACCCCCACCAAACTCCCCTCCCTCAACCACACCGCACTCCTTCCCATCTAGAATTTCCAACCCTTCCTCTAATGTTCTCCAAGCTCTGCTCCTCACACAAACTCCTCCCCCCAAACTGCCGCTTGCAATTTCCGCGCGCCATTAGCATCACCCCAAGAGAAACCTAGACTAGCTCACCTTCTATTTTTGCTAAGTTCAGGGCCCTCGCCCATGTCCCTCCCCTTGCTGGCGAAATTCCGCGACGCGAAACGCGAAAGTATCGCGCGCGATATCTTTTTATCGCTTATCGCATTTTATCGCGCAAAAAATAGCGCGATAAAAACGCGATATCGCAAATATCGCGTGATATTATCGCATCGCATCGCCGCGATATTCTTAAAAAAAAAAAAGATAAATGCTATCGCAAAATGCGATATAATGCGATGCGATATATCGCGATGCGATGCGATTTAACCATGTCTACCTCCAATTAGGGTTATTACACCCTAATTGTAGTGGAGTGCTTAACTTTACTCAAGACTAATAACTCTGTGTAGACTAGTGAATATAGTACGATATTCTAACAGAGTGGAGAGTGTGGGAGGAGACTGGGAGGTGCGAAGGGTGCTTAGGGCAGGCGTAAGGCAGCAGAGAGGGTGCGAGTACGGCAAGGGAAAGGGCGCGCACAGGGCAGGGGAGAGAGCACGTATTTCAGGGGAGAGCGTGTGGAGGGAAGGGCAGAGTGGGCAGGGCAAAGGAGAGAGTGCATGGGGAAGGGAGGGAGAGAGCGGGGGTTAGGGAGAGAGCGTGCAGGGTGTAGCAGCGAGGCTAGCCCAGTGGCGAGGAATGAGATGCAAGCTCGCAGGTGCGATGAGCAGGGAGGTGCAGCTGGTGCAACGTGCTGTGGTGAGCGCCATTGTGAGGGGCGAGGAAGGCAGAAGCGGCCAGCGTGAAGGCAACGTTACGAGGGAACGGATGTGGCGAAAAGCGAGCAAAGGGCTGAAAGCCGAAGAGAGCACTGAGTGGAGAGTGTAGAGGACAGTGGCGGCAGGAGCTCGCATGGCAACAGGACAACACTGGGAGGCACGCCCCACGAACAGATGCGATGGGAGAAGCTTTTAGTTGCAAAAAAAAAAACAGGCAGTGGCGAGGAACAGAAGGGAGGAGCAGATGGCACGCTTGAACGGATTTGGAGCAGAAAAAGCGTCACAAAGAGTTTGAGTGACGAGGCAACGCAACGAGGTCGCCGACAAAAAGGGAAAGTGCGGTAGGTGGAACCACGAGGCTCCATGAAAAAAGGAGCCATTGATACTCGTTTTAAGACATGGATCCAAACCCTAGGGCTTCTATTCGATATTAGATTAACGTTGAGTTGAGGGAGTCCGTGAAGTTGGAGATGCGCATTAATTAAGAAAAGTACATAAGCCCAGATTATAAAAGGAAGAGTTGGCGAACTGTGATGCACCAGTGAGATAACGTAATAGCCCACTACAAAAGTATGCAAAAACATTTTATATAAAGAGACACGCATATTTCAACACCCTCTCGTGTTGAATCCTCCTTAGCGACATACATTCTTCTACAAAGACATGTCATAATCCCCGAACACCACATGCCTCTATCCGGCTGTTGTGCCCATGCAATTTCCATTTTGCATTTTCCCGTCAATGGAAACCATGGGGACCATATAGCACAGTGGCATTGCACTTGTTCTCCATTTTGCAATATTATATAATAAGACTAAACTGCACTTCAAATATCTCTTTCATCTGCAGGCAGCTCCATAGTAATTTCCAGGACAGAGCATTTGTTTTTCTTTGCTGTACAATTTTTTCCTCATGTGTCTGCAGGGAGCTACATAACAATCGTCTTAGCGGAACGATTCCTGATACGATTGGAATGGTTGGTGGTACACAACGCCTGTAAGTAGGCATACCTTCCCACAGTGTGACTTTCTCTCGAGCTGCACAACTCCCAGCAAATGATGTTCGAGCACATTTTATGCAGCATGCCTCAGCAGAAACAATTCCAACGGAAGCTTGCTTGATTGTACCATCCCCTACCTTCACGCCTCTCCGTTTTTTTCAAACCCCGAGATCCTTTTTTCGTCTCTGTCCTCCACTCTTCCTGCTTCAACTCATCCCACCCTATCCAACCCTTTTCTACCCCCCCTTCATGAACATCAGGTCACTCGCCTACAACCAGCTGACTGGAAGCTTACCCGCTTCACTCTCCCAGATGACACAGCTGACTAAGTGGTACAAGCCACCACTTAATCTGCAATAATCACTCATGCTCTTCATTGTTAAGAATGTTCGCACATCCTACTCCTGCCTCTTCTAACTGTACCTCCCTTGCTCTCTTTCCTCCATCCTCCTGCCCCTCTTCCCCATCCTGCCCCTCTCCCCCTTCGTCTGCCTCCAGTGCAACTCCTGCTGGACTTCCAGCAAGGATGGGGGCGGACGTTCGCTGGGTGGGTGCCTGGGGGAAACTGCAGCACTGCAGAGCTTGTGAAGTGCGATGCCCGGGGCATGGTCACCAGCATGTGAGTGCACCAACCCAGAATGAATCTTTACCATGGACGTCCATCCAAAATCTCTCTCTTTCTGCTCATCCGTTATCCCCCTCGTCTCACGCCGCTAACTCCACACCCATCCAGGGGTCTATATGGCCAAAGACTAACCGGATCCATCCCATCTACTATCAGCAGCATGGCCAGCCTGACATCCCTGTGAGTAACAGCGAATCCAGCAGGAGTATGAGTGTGCGTGATAGGGACAACCAGAACAGTCTGTATCTGAAGTGTTGCTTAAGAAGTAGATGAATAAGTAGATGTGCCTCATGCACCAAGTTACCCGTCGGTGGTCTCCTTGTTTTCTTGTTTCCTTGTCAGCTTGCTTACTTGCTGAGAGGCTGAGGTAAACAGAAAAAATGATCGAATGCCCAGTGGGATTTCTAAGTGCTGGATTGGCCAGTTTTAGGTATCCCTAGATAAGCGACCACCCCATAGATGGGGTGGGCTGGAGACATTGAGTGAGGCCCCAAAACTGTGAAACACCCAACCCACCAGACTTGGACGCAGCAACCTATATTTAACGTCTTTGACCCCTTTCTTGCCTCCTTGTGCCTTTTTTTCCTTGTCTTCTACTGCCTTTCCTTGTCCCTAGATGCTTCGAGCTTGTTGTAATTCTATTACACTGTGGCTGAGTAGCCTCCAAAGACCCACACTCACAAATTCCTGACCCTGATAGAGTACCAATTTCTTGTTTTCACGCATCTTCCTTCCCTTCCCATTTGAATGTTCTCCAGAGATCTCAATGGGAACAAGGGATTAGTTGTCATGGAAGAGTAGCAGCAGCGTAGGAAGGTCGCGTTAGCAAAAAACTGACAGTTAGAAAAAACTTGTACCCTCAGAAAATAGGTGAACTCGAAAAAGCTCCTCAACCGGCCCGTGAATTGAATCAACAAGCAAACATGTTTCGGTGGTGGGGATCAAACCCACAACACCTTCATCAGTGCATGAGCTGGTAATGAAAAAGGAAACCTCCGAGCGAGGGGTCTTAAAAAGACACCCAAGCCTCGAGATCTACTCTGGGGAAATCCTACCCGGGCCCACAACTAGATAAGAAGTAAGCCAACAAAGCACTGCGGACAAAACCTAGGTGCCCTGTCATTCTTCGGGTTTGTCCTCGGGAGCCTTGGAACCTGCAGGTGGTAACCTCGCGCGAACCAAAAGTTGTTGCACGTTACGTGCACACTTCCAAGCAACCAAAATTCTTCCTGTATTAAATCCGCGGATAAGGAGACGACTTTTGAGGCGCCTCAAAAGTACCCCTAGCTTGAGACGAGCGGTCGAAGGTGTGAACACCGTCTTCAAAACTAGGGGTCCGCGATGAGGAAGGGCTGTTGGTTGTTGTTGCTTAAGTGAGTGGTGCGCTGAGATCTGTTCTATGAGAGAACCACGTTGGCGAAAGAGGACTGTCCGAAAAATGGGTTGAAGGAAATCCGGTGGGTAACCACGTGCACGAAGCCTGTAGAAGAAAGCATGCTTCGTCGCGAGGAAGGCCGAAGCTGATGTCGAACGGAGTAGGTACCGTTTCAGTTCAGCTTGGATGAACCCGACCTTGCAGTGACGTGGGTGGTATGACGAAAATGGTAGGTAGAGATACCGGTTCATGGGCTTCTGGAATGTCCGGAAGTCCAAAGTACCAGAGTCAGCAAAACGATCCCCCTTGAACAAAACCATGTCGAGGAAGTCTACTGACTGCTCCGAGACGTGCCACGTCAATTTAATGTTCGGGTCAAGGCTGTTGAACGTGTTCAGGTAACGTTCCAGCTCATCTCTGGACCCCGGCCAGACGATGAACCCATCGTCAATGTATCTGACGTGTCGAATGGGCTGCGTCCCAGTCCACCTCTGCTTCAGCACTTCGTCCAGTCGGCTCATGAAAAGCACCGCGAAACAGACCGCCACAGGAGTTCCCATAGCAGTTCCCTGGATCTGGCGGTAGATATCGCCGTTGAACTCCACGTAAGAATTCAGCATGACCCACTCCAGCAGGGCCATGACCAGAAGTGCATTGTGACACCGCTCCCTCTGTAGAAAGCCGCTAACCGCATCGAGTCCACGTCTCAGGGGTATGCTGGGGTAGAGCGCGGAAACATCGTACGTTGCCAGAAGAACATTTCGTGGAAGAGTCGTTCGTTCTAGCTCCAGAAGCAGCGAAAGGGAGTCGCGAAGGTAGGATTGTTGTTTAAGGACCAGTGGTCGTAGCTCAGCATCCAACCAAGTGCTGACGTTAGTAGTAACCCAGGAATGCGAAGCAGCGATCGGCCGCCCCGCCAGGTTTTCCTTGTGGAGTTTCGGTAGGATGTAGAACGCCGCTGGCCTCCAGCCTCCGCTCGGTTGATGTAAGAAATACCTCCATAAACTGTCTCGAAGAGCAGGGCCCCAAATAGCTCGTAAGTCGCGTAGTTGTTGGAGGACAGCATCCGTGGGGTTGGTGCGGACTGGAACGTAGGTACTTCGGTCGCCAAGATGTTCGAGGCAGAGCGCGATGTAGTGATTCCTGTCCAGCACTGTGACGCCCAGGTTCTTATCCGCCGGTTTGATGACCACGCTGGAATCAGCTGCAATGGAACGCAGAGCCCGTGCGACGCCGACGTTGATGTTCCGCGATCGCTTGGGTCTGTTGGCTTTCAACAGGAAGGAAAGATCCGAAGACGAATCCCTGAAAACCTGCTCTGGAATTGGATTCTCATCAGGGATCCAGCCAGGATTCCGTACGCGGAAACGTGAATCCCGGCTGCATCGACCTGACTCGTTGAAGAAAAAGTGAAGGGAAATCTGCCGAAGTAATTGATCGAGCTCCACCTCGGTTGAAAAGGATCTGGCGGGCGTTGGGATGAACTTCAGACCCAACCCAAGCGCCGTTTTCTCATCCGAAGACAAGATCTTGGCGCTGAGGTTGTGTACCCCCTGGTTCAGGACGCGTGACGTCGCCTGCCGATACGTCATTCGACCGAACCAGCGGAGAGCCAGATCATGGCTCGTTAGTTCTTGCGCGGCCCTTTTCCGGGGCCGCCTCCGCCGTTTTTTGATCCCTTGGCAGAAGAAACGTTATTAGAATCGCCTTTCCCTCGCTGGTCGTTGGAGCCGTTGGAGTTCTGCTTGTTTTTCTTCCCTCCGCGCTTCTTCTTAGACTTAGAAGGGACACCATCCTGCTCCTTCTTGTCTTTCGGATCCGCGTTAGAGGACGACGTAGGTTCCTGTCGACCCAGACCGAACTCCTTCTTGAATTTCTTCAGTAAGGTAGCGAGCACGTCCGCTGTAATCTCCTTGCGTAGCGTGCCAGCCATCTTCGTCGAGTGTTTCTTCAAGAGTTCGTCAAACGTCGCTTCAGTTTCCATCTCCTTCAACTCCTCCGCCGCAGCAGATTTCTTCAAGTCTTCGGCGGCCTGCTTCCGCTGTCGATCCAGCTCGCGAATGGTGATGTCATCCTTAGCAACAGCAATGTCGGAGTTAGCCTTTTCAATGCAACGACCCTTCAAGCGACGATAGCGCTCCTTGGCGGCGTCGGAAACCACCAAATCAGGATCAGCATTAAGACTCTGTACGTACTCCTCAAGCTTTGTCGCCAGAGCTGTGACGTGCGAGATGCTCGCCGCGAGAATCTCCTCAACCTCTGCTTCCTTAGACGCGATGAAGTCTTGCTGGAGTTTCTTCTGATTCTCCAGATGCGTAGCCATGACAGCCTGCGCAGACTTCTCCTTGATTGCAGGATATTTGGTCTGGAACTCGACAGCCTTCGTGCGAATACTGTGAAGTATTTCGCCCGCTTCGTCGAGCGCCTTCATCTTCTTAAGCTTCGATTTCGCCTTCAGGAGCGTCTTGAAATCATCCCGGAAGCCTTGAACAGCAGACGCCGTCCATCCCTTGAATGGCTCGGGAATTGGAGTCGTGTCCACCGAAGGATTCATTGCCGAAACGCTGGGACAATTGGTCGTAACAGCAGAAGGAAGATCAACTCGTTGCTTCTCAGTGAAAATTTGCTCGTGGACGAGACGCAAGGGAGGGATCACGGGATTCACCGCCCGGTATTGCTTAGAAGCAGAAAAACTCGGACGAGCCGCGTTCCCCCCTCCACGAGAAGATTTCGAAGAGTTGCGTCCAACCATGCCGGCTTCCTCTTCTTCGATAAACTTTTCAAAGTCCCAGGGATTAGTTGTCATGGAAGAGTAGCAGCAGCGTAGGAAGGTCGCGTTAGCAAAAAACTGACAGTTAGAAAAAACTTGTACCCTCAGAAAATAGGTGAACTCGAAAAAGCTCCTCAACCGGCCCGTGAATTGAATCAACAAGCAAACATGTTTCGGTGGTGGGGATCAAACCCACAACACCTTCATCAGTGCATGAGCTGGTAATGAAAAAGGAAACCTCCGAGCGAGGGGTCTTAAAAAGACACCCAAGCCTCGAGATCTACTCTGGGGAAATCCTACCCGGGCCCACAACTAGATAAGAAGTAAGCCAACAAAGCACTGCGGACAAAACCTAGGTGCCCTGTCATTCTTCGGGTTTGTCCTCGGGAGCCTTGGAACCTGCAGGTGGTAACCTCGCGCGAACCAAAAGTTGTTGCACGTTACGTGCACACTTCCAAGCAACCAAAATTCTTCCTGTATTAAATCCGCGGATAAGGAGACGACTTTTGAGGCGCCTCAAAAGTCGGAGACCTTGATGGATCACATCTGACTGACGCCAAGAAACTGTGAAATACCCAACCCACCAAAATTGGACGCATCAACCTATCTTTAACATCCTTGTCCCCTTTCTTGCCCCCTTGTGCCTTTTTTTCCTTGACTTCTACTGCCTTTCCTTGTCCCTAGATGCTTCGAGCTTGTTGTGATTCTATTACACTGTGGCTGAATTGCCTTCAACGACCCACTCTCACAAATTCCTGACCCTGATTGAGTACCACTTTCTTGTTTTCACGCATCTTCCTTCCCTTCCCCTTTGTTTGCCCTCCAGAGATCTCAATGGGAACAATCTCAGTGGCTCAATACCCTCAGGCATTGCGAATCTCCTCGATCTGTGCTATTTGTGAGGATTGCAAGTTTTTATGAGAAGACTGACCCCATTGCTTGTGACCATTCGCTGTGTCCAATGTGACCACTTCTTGTAACCATTTTATGCCACCATTTCAAGCAGACAGAACTTACTATGTATGATATAGGATGGCTTACTATGTTAACCATATCATGCCCTTTTCATCTCCCTGCTTCATCCACTCCCCCCTCCTCTGCTTCAACCTGTGGGAACCTATGCATACACCATCAGGGATCTGCGTCATAATGCCTTGACTGGGTCTATTCCATCTACCATCGGCAGCATGAGCAGCCTCACAATTCTGTCAGTACCATGGGAACACAACCGAACATGCATGCTTGGATTAAATGGGACTAGCGCACGCTTTTGACCAAAGCAGAAGGTTGTACTCACCAGGTACAGAGCTATATTGTGTTGTTAATGTGCGTTCGTCTGTCAGCCTCACTAAAACGGCAACTACATCAAGCCGTTTTATCTTCCCCCTCCAAACCTTCCTCCCACTCATTCTCTGCTTCAATGAATTCACTCATGGACTCCTCTGTGTGCACCATCAGGAATCTGGGCTATAATGCCTTGACTGGGTCTATTCCATCTACCATCAGCAGTATGAGCAGCCTCACGCTTCTGTCAGTACCATAGAAACACAACTGAACTTCCATGTTTGGCTTCAATGGCTCTATTTCGTCCTTTCACTGAAGCATAAAGTTACTCTCTTCCTTGTTCTGGGTCATCTTCTATCACGTATTCTGTGCAGTTCTGTCAGCTTGAACTGAAATGCAACTCGTGAATAGTAACAAGGAATTCATGATGATCCCTTTTCTTCAAATGCCCTTTTGCTTCCTTGATGCATTGCTGCTACGGATGGATTCAGGGGTCTAGAGTCGAACTTCCTCTCGCAGTCCATCCCAGGGTCCATCGGGAACCTCATTAACTTGGAACGCTTGTGCGTGCTCTTATTTCGAACTGTTAAGGTGACTCCCAGAGATACCCGATTCCCAAATGAGTGACTCCGACTTCTGATTCCCTGCTTTCACAACGTGAGCTTCTTATCTGTACCGCCTAGCCTTATATTCACGGTAATAAAAGGGTAAGATTCGTCTGTGCACTACTGTTCACCAGATATCTTTACAACAATAGTTTAAGTGGAGCCATTCCTGACCCCATCGGCATGCTCGTCAATCTCTCCGTACTGTATGTTCTCTCAGCCTGCGCGGCTCTAGGAGCCATAACAATAAGCCATGGGGCCTTTACATGAAAAGTTGCATCTGTAAAAAGCTCCTCTGGACATGTCAAATTGATCGATTTGAGGAATTCGATGCATCGATAGCATTGGAAGCAAGGAATCTTAATGCCTTGATAATGCTGAGCCTGTTTTGCAACCCTCTGTCTTGTCCTTCTTGTCCCAACCAGATCGGTGTTCAACAACAGTCTAAGTGGCAGCATTCCGGACTCCATAAGCAAGCTCGTAGATCTTGAAGGACTGTATGTCCTCATCTCCCGTTCCTATCATGTCAGCTACAGCTATAGCATGAAATTCATGAGAAAATTTGATATATTTTCACAACCTCTTTCGAGCATACACAGTTGAGAGCTTGATTTGGGGTGAATCTGTGTGTTTGCCGCGCCCTCCAGTATGAACTTTGTGTGTGTGTGTGTGTGCGTTGGTGTGTGTGTGTGTGTGTGTGTGTGTGTGTTTGTGCGCGCACGCATGCGCGTGCGCGCGTGTGTGCGCACGCGCGTGTGCATGTGTGTATTGCAGATCTGTTGAGCAGAATAATCTCACCGGCCAGCTCTCTCCAAGAATGGGCAGCCTTACGCATCTTTCAGACCTGTGTGTCAATCCACTTTCATTTCTTTACCCAATCCAAGGGCAAACTAGTCCCTTTCAAGGGTAACCTCGAAATGCTCATGGATCCACTACGAGGATGAAATCCCAATCCGCTTCTTTGAACAGTTTGAGAATCTTTCCCTGTGCTTGTGCAGGATCATATCTGGGAATGCAATTACGTGCCCACCGGACCACAGCAGCTGTGTGGTCCCACAGGACAATTCAAGTGCTTTCTGCAGGCAGTGCCCTGAATTCTGCAATGCATGTGACATGGCACCACCCTCTCAAAGTGAGTCTGCACCTTTCCTACGTTAACCCACAATGCACTGCGTGCCTCCCATAGTTGGATACTCCCGTGAGTTTCTTCACACAAGCCGAGCCTGGAACTCGATCTGCTGGGATGAGTATCAGCTCCACCTCTCCCTCCATCACTTATGCTAGTGTCTTGTCCCCACCCCCCCTCGACCATGCTGCAACCAAGAAATTTCGGTTAATCAGGGGCTAGTCAGAACGCGCCTGTACGATGGTGGGGACTTGAGTTGGAGTGAAAGGTCATAAGTTGATGCGTGTGGCTGCCTCATCTCGAATTGGCCTATCTCTACCCAACCTCCTGCTCTTCCCTGCTTCCCCTCCCTCCTCCTCCCAGTCCTCCTTCTCCCACCCCGTTATAATCCCCCTTTCGTATCCTCTCCCCCTTCCCTCTGCCTGCAGTGCAACTCCTGCTGGACTTCCAGCAGGCGTGGGGACAGACATTCGCTGGGTGGGTGATTGGGGGGGACTGCCGCACTGCTGCAAATGTGGAGTGCGATGCCAAGGGCATGGTCACCCACATGTGAGTGCACCAAGTTAGTATGACTCCTTACCCAGCACGTCCTTCAAGGATCCCCTCGTTTCTTCTCTAATCTCCTCCGTTATGCACCTTGTCTCACGTAACCAACTCCAAATCCCTTCAGGGATCTATACGACCATGGCTTAACCGGATCCATCCCATCTACTATCAGCAGTATGGTCAACCTGACTTACCTGTGAGTAACAGCTTATCTGGTATGAGTACCACAATTCACATAAGGGTAAACAAAAATCCGTCTGTTCTATTCCGACTCCGAATGAAGTCATGAGAAGTAGACCAGTAAATAAATTGCCTCTTTCACAAACTTAATCGCTGCTTATCTCCATGCCTCCTCTTCCTATCTCATAGTCTCCTCTCCTTCCTGGAATTGAGCCAAATAGAAAAATGGATTGATTCCATAACGGGATTTTAAAATGCTGGGTTGGTGAGTCTATCCCTAGATTAGTGACCACCCAAAATACGGGTGGGCTGGAGACCTTGATGGATCACATCTGACTGATGCCAAGAAACTGTGAAATACCCAACCCACCAAAATTGGACGCATCAACCTATCTTTAACATCCTTGTCCCCTTTCTTGCCCCCTTGTGCCTTTTTTTCCTTGTCTTCTACTGCCTTTCCTTGTCCCTAGATGCTTCGAGCTTGTTGTAATTCTATTACACTGTGGCTGAATTGCCTTCAACGACCCACTCTCACAAATTCCTGACCCTGATTGAGTACCACTTTCTTGTTTTCACGCATCTTCCTTCCCTTCCCCTTTGTTTGCCCTCCAGAGATCTCAATGGGAACAATCTCAGTGGCTCAATACCCTCAGGCATTGCGAATCTCCTCGATCTGTGCTATTTGTGAGGATTGCAAGTTTTTATGAGAAGACTGACCACTCTGCTTGTGACCATTCACTGTGTCCAATGTGACCACTTCTTGTAACCATTTTATGCCACCATTTCAAGCAGACAGAACTTACTATGTATGATATAGGATGGCTTACTATGTTAACCATATCATGCCCTTTTCATCTCCCTGCTTCATCCACTCCCCCCTCCTCTGCTTCAACCTGTGGGAACCTATGCATACACCATCAGGGATCTGCGTCATAATGCCTTGACTGGGTCTATTCCATCTACCATCGGCAGCATGAGCAGCCTCACAATTCTGTCAGTACCATGGGAACACAACCGAACATGCATGCTTGGATTAAATGGGACTAGCGCATGCTTTTGACCAAAGCAGAAGGTTGTACTCACCAGGTACAGAGCTATATTGTGTTGTTAATGTGCGTTCGTCTGTCAGCCTCACTAAAACGTCAACTTCATCAAGCCGTTTTATCTTCCCCCTCCAAACCTTCCTCCCACTCATTCTCTGCTTCAATGAATTCACTCATGGACTCCTCTGTGTGCACCATCAGGAATCTGGGCTATAATGCCTTGACTGGGTCTATTCCATCTACCATCAGCAGTATGAGCAGCCTCACGCTTCTGTCAGTACCATAGAAACACAACTGAACTTCCATGTTTGGCTTCAATGGCTCTATTTCGTCCTTTCACTGAAGCATAAAGTTACTCTCTTCCTTGTTCTGGGTCATCTTCTATCACATGTATTCTGTGCAGTTCTGTCAGCTTGAACTGAAATGCAACTCGTGAATAGTAACAAGGAATTCATGATGATCCCTTTTCTTCAAATGCCCTTTTGCTTCCTTGATGCATTGCTGCTACGGATGGATTCAGGGGTCTAGAGTCGAACTTCCTCTCGCAGTCCATCCCAGGGTCCATCGGGAACCTCATAAATTTGGAACGCTTGTACGTGCTCTTATTTCAAAGTGTTAAGGTGACTCCCAAGATACCCTATTTCCAACTGAGTGACTCCATCTTCTTGCCCTCTGATTTTGCAACCTTAGCTGCCAATGTATACAGCCTAGCCTTATATTCACCCTAAACAAAGGAAAACATTCATCTGTGCACTAGTATTCACCAGATATCTTTACAACAACAGTTTAAGTGGAGCCATTCCCGACCCCATTGGCAAGCTCGTCAATCTCTCCGTACTGTATGTTCTCTCAGCCTGCACGGCTCTAGGAGCCATAACAATAAGCCATGGGGCCTTTACATGAAAAGTTGTATCTGTAAAAAGTTCCTCTGGACACGTGAAATTGATCGATTTGAGGAATTCGATGCATCGATAGCATTGGAAGCAAGGAATCTTAATGAATTGATAATGCTGAGCCTGATTTGTAACCCTCTGTCTTGTCCTTCTTGTCCCAACCAGATCGGTGTCCAACAACAGTCTAAGTGGCAGCATTCCAGACTCCATTAGCAAGCTCGTAGATCTTGAAATACTGTATGTCCTCATCTCCCGTTCCTATCATGTCAGCTACAGCTATAACATGAAATTCATGAGAAAATTTGATATATTTTCACCTCTTTTGAGCATATACAGTTGAGCTTGATCTGGGGTGAATCTGTGTGTTTGCTGCGCCCTCCAGTATGAACTTTGTGTGTGTGTGTGTGTGTGTGTGTGTGTGTGTGTGCGTGCGTTGGTGTGTGTGTGTGTGTGTGTGCGTTGGTGTGTGTGTGTGTGTGTGTGCGTGGGTGTGTAAATGTGTGTGTGTGTGTGTGTGTGTGTGTGTGTTTGTGCGCGCACGCATGCGCGTGCGCGCGTGTGTGCGCACGCGCGTGTGCATGTGTGTATTGCAGATCTGTTGAGCAGAATAATCTCACCGGCCAGCTCTCTCCAAGAATGGGCAGCCTTACGCATCTTTCAGACCTGTGTGTCAATCCACTTTCATCTCTTTATCCAATCCAAGGGCAAACTAGTCCCTTTCAAGGGTAACCTCGAAATGCTCATGGATCCACTATGAGGATGAAATCCCAATCCTCTTCTTTGAACAGTTTGATAATCTTTCCCTGTGCTCGTGCAGGAACATATCTGGAACAGCAATCACATGCCCACCAGATTACAGCGCCTGCCTGGTCATACAGAATGCTTCAACCACCTTCTGCCTGAAATGCCGCTCCTTCTGCTCCACTTGTGACAAGTCACCACCGGGTGAGACTCAATCTCCTTTGCCCCCTCACTACTCAGTGAGAAACATTTTGCATTGGCAAGTCACCAGGTTTGCACTTTTAAATAACAATTCGTAACGCACCAACCATTCACAGTGCACCATCTCCTTAACCTCATCGATATGCAGCCTCCATTGCACTTTTAATCGTCACTTTCAATCTACTGTGTATATCTTCAAACCTTTTGACGCTTTCCTTTCCTTCTCCACCTCTTTCCTCCTGCACCATATCCAACACCCCCCCTTTCCCACCTACAGCACCCCTGTCCCCGTCCCCAGAACCCTCCTCCCCCTCTCCACCCCCACAACCCACCTCCATACCCACACCCTCTCCACCCACCACAAGCTCTCCGCCTCCTCCCAATTCCACTCCTAGTCAACCCCCAGCCTCTCCCTCCCAGTCTGGAGGTGGAATGTCAGTAGGCACCATAGCTGGCATTGCTGCTGCTGCCGGTGTGGCTATTCTCATGCTGCTGCTGGTGCTGTGTCTGATGCTGTTCAAGCGATGGCACACCAAAGGAGCTTCGGCACAAGGAGGAGCTGGTATGGATGTGTATGGGAAGGATCTGGCAGTGGAAAACTCCACTATACATTGCAGTGGAAGGATTTTCACGTGCATTTCCATTGCTCCCCACTGCACCTCCTACAAATTCCTTGTCCCTGCTCTCTTCCTCTCTCTGTCTCTTCTCTCTTTCCAACATATTCTCCTGCCTCGTTGCATAATTTTTCCTCTGCTCTTCACTTCCCCTGCTCTCTCTATACACACTCTGGCATTGCAAAATTTCTTTCCACTTTCACTACCCTCCCAAAAATCAGAACCGGTCTTATCGGCTGAAGTGCACAACGTGTATGAGAGAGACCCTGAAGCAGCAGCAGCCGCAGCAGCAGCGGCGGCTGTGGTGGCAGGAGCAGCAGCAGCACGAGGGCAGGACAAGGGGGACTTGGTGGTGGATATGGAGGCAGTGAAGCCGCAAGTGTGCCAGAAGTTCACTCTTGAAGAGCTGGCAAACGCAACAGCGGATTGGGCTGAGGGGAACAAGATTGGCAGCGGCAGCTTTGGGGATGTGTACAAGGGCGTGTCTCCATATGATCCCAATGAGATATGGGCTGTGAAGCGATCCAAGATTCTCTCCAATGACTTCCTCACAGAGGTATCACCCTGCGCTAGTGCAAATTCTGGCATTACACTATGGATCAAGTTGCTCTTTCTCCATTTTTGAATGATTTTCTTTATTTCTTTCTCTTCCTCTGTCCATGTGTCCCTTTACCCTGATGCAGGTGAACGAGATGGCATCAAAGCACCACCCCAACTTGGTGCGCTTGCTGGGATTCTGTGTGAACATCGATCTGAACACGAGCCATATGGAGCAACTGTTGGTGTATGAGTTCATGGCCAACCGAGACCTGGAGAGCTGGATCGGACCTGGTACTGCACCTCTTACCACACCCTTTGGCGTCCCTTGTCCGTTCCAATCGTGATCCCTTGCATCTCTACCTGCAGTTTTTGGTCAATCCAATGCACCATGTCTAATTTATGCTTCTAATATTTGTTCATTCGTCTACTGCTCTATGTCTCTGCTTCTCTATGGCTTGTACGACCCTCTGTATACTACCTTGGGAATCTTTTCTTTCTCTTGTCGTCACATTCTCTCCTTGAAATCAAAACTCCTTTGTTATCGAACGGCCCAGCTAGGTATCCTTTGCTGGCTTTATTAAGCAGAGTCCGCCATCTAGGGTGCTACATACCTCTATTAGCCATTGACAGTCTATTTTATCCATTTGCAGGTGGTTCTCAACAACTTTCGCCATTGCAAAGGCTGGACATTCTGATTGGAGTGGCAAGGGGGTTGCAGTACCTTCACGATTTTGGCATTGTGCATCGCGACATCAAGCCAGCCAACATTCTGCTGGATACAAAGATGCAGGCATGTCAGGATTCTGATTTATGCCGACTCTTTCTCATTTACTCTCCAAAGCATTTTTTTTTTCTTGATAGCCTAATACTGATAATTTGGTAGTAGGCCAATTCTTTCATGAATTTTCATGTGATTGTTTACCAGGCAAAAGTTGCAGACTTTGGTCTTGTGAAACTCACCGGAGGCACCAATGTGGGCACGTCTATGGCTGCCACTCGAGTGATGGGAACACCAGGCTATCTGGACCCAACCTATTTGAGGTCACACAAGGCCACTACAGCAGCAGATGTCTACAGGTGAGGGAATAGATGTCTACAGTCATTTTATAGAAAGAATGTGTGTCTTTGTGTCTATCGCATCAACTGCTTTGTTTGCATACGTGCCTCGCGTCAACCCTATTTCTGTCCAACAATTTTGTCCGCCTGTGTGGTGTGGGCAGCTTTGGTGTGGTGATGCTGGTGGTAATTTCAGCACGCAAGGCCCTGCATGTGGAAGATGACAGCCATATTAGCCTGACAGAATGGGTGAGGCACAAGAGCCCGGTGCACAAATTACACACTGGAACCTTAACACCAGATTTTAATGACTATCCAATCCCAGCTAATGGTTGACATCGCAATGCAGTCGAGTTTCTATTGTGTTAAGTTTTCCAAATGGGCGTGTTTCCTTTTCAACCCGGCAGGTCGCCCCACTGGTGGAGTCAGGTGCTGTGGCAGTCTTCAAGGACCCTTCCTTGGACGCACCAGATGACCTCGTGCTGCGCTTGGCCCGACTTGCCCTCTCCTGCACTGCCATTCCTGCGGGTTCCCGCCCCTCCATGAGCCAATTGTTGGGAGAGCTGGTGAAGATCAAGCAGGAAATCTTTGGAGCGCAAGTGACCAAGGCCGTATCGACCATCTTTATGAAAGCTGGGAGTTCAGTCGGCAGCTTCTCTGACTTCACTGCTGAAATTGCCCGTGCTGAGCATGTGGGTGGACAGAGCGGCTCCTCTAATAGCATGTCATAGGCGTGTGAGATTGGTAGCAACTTGGAGATTTCTTTTATGCTTCCTTTGAAAGCCTGGCTCCCACCCTCTCGGATTCTAATATCGTAGAAGAATTGGGCTACTATTCTTTCTTTCCACTTGATTGTTAGATTTTAGGAATAAGGTGGGGTAGAGATATTCCATCTGTAAAAACCATCCCCCCCCCCTCCCTTCCTTTTATTTAGACCTGTAGGATGTTTATCCTGAAATGGGTCTTAAATTCGTTTCAGAGGGTATACCCTACACGCCCTGCTTTTTGTCCTTGAAAACACTGCATTAGAACAAATAAAGAAGTCCAACTAGTGGGAATATTTCTTTCTCCTCGCCAACCAGAAGTGCAGCTAGCCCGGGCTAAATCTTCCCACTCAACACTGCATTGCCACCTCTTCCCTCTTCGCCATTCTCTGTTCCGGTGAACAACCTGCTGATTTGGCCAGATTACTTCAGAGATGCCAGAAGGCCAAGGCTGCTGTGGCCTGTGGGCCAACAGCCGTGATGTTGGCGTATGCTAGGATCACCACATCTGGGTAACGGGTGGCCTCTCGAGCAAGCACGGGCTGAGCAGGGCGAGGCGATCGCCCTGGCAGACCCTGCAGCTGCCCATAAGGGACGTGTCGCCAAAGATGTTGTCTATGAAAGTGGTGAATACACGCTGTACAGGGTGAGTGCGAGCGGTAGCGAGGGATGGACTATGCTCCAGTGTAGCAAGTGGAGAAAACTAGTGCCAACCATGCTTTTGAATGCGCTTTCTATGTGCTGTTGGAGGGCCACATGCATGGGGAACGCCTGGAGTAGGGTGCGCACTGTGAATAATGCACTCTTGATATGGCCACGCCAAACTGATGTGGTTGGAGGAGAGTGCTGGTGGCTGGCGAGGGCACATGTCATGCTTGGCATTCGATCAGTGCCCAACCTTAGTCCCCTGTCCTATGCATGTTGATGGTGTTAAGCTGTGTTTGCTGTCTCTCCATTGGGGCTGGCTGACGAGGAGCAGATGTTTGCAGAGCTTTTCCACACACTAGCGGCAGGAGAGTTGTTGGACCCTTGGTTTTCCAGGACTGTGGACCTGCTTCTACAATCAGTCCGAAGCATCATCTTGCCATGGAGAGCCTGCAGTGCCCCTGACACAGGGCCCATGATACCACTGCCCTAGTCCGTATGACTTCCATTTGGGGCCCGGGATGGGGGCATTGGTTTCACCACAGCTGAGTGGAGCATCTCTGTGGCCATGCACTTGGGCCTGCCTTCAGCAGCTGATGGTGGGGTGGAGTTCATCGACACTTCAGGTCCGCTCCATGCCCTCCGCTGCAAGCATCAGTACACCTCTCTTGTGTTCATGATGCTGTGAAGTTCGTATTGGCTAGGATCGCTGAAAGTTCCGATGGGGTGGTCACTATGGAGGGTGACACACTTCTATTGGCTGAGAAGGTTGATGTGGTGGTAAGCTAGCCAATGCAGAGGGAGGCACACGTGCTCGAGGTTAGGTCATGGATCCCATCTCTCTCTCTCTCTCTCTCTCTCTCTCTCTCTCTCTCTCTCTCTCTCTCTCTCTCTCTCTCTCTCTCTCTTTCTCTCTCTCTCTCTTCCCAGCAGCTTGGTCAGATTGGTCGTGCATGCGGTTTGCTGCACGGGAGTACGAGAAGTGAAAGGCAGCAGATTACAAGGCCCTTTCATAGCGTACAGTTCACTTGACTCATTACGAGACTTGGGGTTGCCCGGGGGGAGGTTGTGAGAGTACAATCTGGTTACACCAGTTCCCCTTTCCTATATTTCTTTTCTATTTCATTCCCCTTTTCATCTTGATTCCAATGCTCTTTGTCTCATCTCATTTGGTTTTCTATTCCTTATCATCTATTATCCTTTGCCTTATCCAATTGTCATGATAATATCACCGACCAGGCTTGGGATGCCCTGGCATTCTATATCTAGCACAATCCTGCCGTAATTCCTTAAAGCCACTAGTCTCCCGTGGCTATACGCAGTGTGATTGCATTTTTAGCAGGGTCTATTTCGTTTGCATAGGATACATTTGGTTACCTGATGTATTTTGGAAGTGTAAAAGTGCATTGTAATGTTTGATAGTGCAACACTGAGCAAACCTCATTCGATCATGTGATACTTGGTTACCAGAGCCAAAGGTTTCAGCTCAACGCTTAGCCGCTAGGCCCACAAGAACATGCCGAGGGTGGAGTCGAAACGTCAAATCCTGTAAGTACAATACTCTTTCAATTTTTGACTAACCTTTCGCAGTTGCACCTTGGATCCCCGTCGAAGGCGAGATGCCTTGCCAACCATTTGATGGATTGCATCGACAGTGTCTTTTTTTTTTTTTTTTTTTGTTTGTTTTTTTTTTTTTTGCGTTGGCCAATGGTCTCAACCTCGCGAATGAGACCTTCAGGCGGAACAGTCTCTGTGATATTCCAATCAATTTCGAATTTGCCACAATCCTTGGAGTTATGCCGAGATGTGTGGAGTTACAACTTGCAACAACTGTTCGATGGAAATTTGACGCTGCATATCGACCAAGGCAAAAGCGAAACTATGCGGATTCAAGTTTCGGCGCTTATGCGAACGAGACCTCGCTACCCGCGAAAATCTTCGGAGCATCGGATCGTTCACCAGTCGTCATTGACGACCAATATTTGCTGCAGAAAATGAGTTGACCCTGAAAATGAAAGCTGTTGAACATGACTTAGGAATATTTTCAGATCACTTGGAATTTTGACCCCCGGGTCATATTTTACTTCAACCGACAAGATGGAGCACGAGTTCTACTCAAAGGGAGATTGATGCAAGGAACAGAAATGCAGCCGCTTTCCACACCGCTGACATTATTCGAACAACCAATTTCGGATTCCTCCATTTGGTCATGAATTTGGCTTGCTTATCATATGCCAAGTAAAACAATTGCTGCAAAATCACCTACTTGGCAAAGTTGCAAACAGAAAATTGACAGGAGAACATGGATCGTCGGATCACTGTGGAATCAACGGCGTGAATGTAGTGGAGGATGCACCATGGAAAAAGTTCATCATGGAGACAACATTCATGGCTGACAACTGCACAATCGACACATCTTCTAACTAGTATCCATCATGATCTACTCATTTTGACGAAGTTACAATCTAAGCTTAAATTCGAGTGGATCTCGACTCGAAAAAATAAACGGAGTTGCATGAAGTTTTTTTCTCTATCGATGCTTGATTTCTTCACAACAAATTGTTCAATATACTATGGGATTGCATAGAAGTAGCAGTTTTCTTTCGCAATATTCCCAACACCAAGTTGCTGCGAAAGAGCAGATTTCAGATGCAACAACAATGCAGTAAACACGTCTCATCAAGACCAGCAAGACACTACTTCTTATCAAGAGCTGATCGATTCGTGTTCATCAAGAATCTTTGCCATCAATAGTGACTGATTGGAGCAGCCATACATTCAATTTTATGAGGCGACCCACAAATAATGTCTAGCGATTCCAGGTGTTTAGGACCTGCGTGGAATTTTTCCGTGCATGGGAGCTGCCTCAGCAGCCAGTGGTGGTCTTGGAGCTGTTTGGAGGCATCGGGAACGGGCTGGCTGCTATGCTGAGGGCGGGCTGGACCGTGTCCAGCTGGGAACACGTGGAGCTAGATGCTTAATCTCGCAGCATGGCTAAGGAGCATGAGCGGCGGCTGAAAAAAGAATTCCCAGGGGAGTTACTAGATGAAGCGGAGGAGGGGAGCAGGAGTAACTTGGTACACGATGTGCGGCAGGTGACGGATGAGCATTTGGACGCTTGGGGGCCCATCAACGTGCTGATCATGGGATGGGAATGCCAAGGGATCTCATGGGCTGGGAGATGTTTGGGCGTGGAAGATCAGCGAACTGCCCAGTTTGAGCAGCTCATGCGCATCATGAAAAGGCTGAACTGTGGGCAAGGCAGCTATACGTACCTGCTTGGGAACAAGGACGTGGCGGCGGGCCTGCGCGAGCCAATCAGGAAGGCACACAATCGGGTGACATCGGAGCGAGGGGCAGGAGTGGCTTCTGACTCCATGGAAACAGGCAGCTGGATGCACAGGGTCAGGCGTTACTGGACCAACAGGATGACAGAGGCATGCATGCAGCATGAGCTGTCACTCGTGGAGCAGCCAGAGTATGAGACATCCTGGAAAGGAATCATACTGAAGCCCCTGTGGAGAAGCCGGAAATCCCATGCAGTATCCCTGCAGCGTGATAGGGGAGCCAAGGGAAGCGTGGGCGACCCTAGTGGCATATCAAAAGGTAGATGGGCTCAACAAGTTTGGCGGCAAGGCAGGCCCAGGCATGGTCTACGACCATGACAAGCGAGAATGGGAAGAACCAACAACGCTATTGCGAAAACTGGCACTGGGAATGATGCAAAGAGCGACTGCAGCAGAGGGACTTGTGGAATGGCAGAGATGCAGGGCTCTGGGAAGGGCAATGGACGTGCAAACCGTGTCATGGATCTTCCACACCATTCAGGTGCAGATGGTGCACCTGCAGCTGGACAAGAGAGTGCACATTTCCAGCCAGCTCGGAGCAGCTATGCAAGAGGTACTGTCAGCCAGAGAGGACCAGGTGCGCTGCCAAGCAGAGCTGGAGCAGGAGGTGAAGGAGATCAACCAAGACGACTGGCCACCAGCAGCCAATCGATGACACCTACCATGCATGAAGGGGACCTTCTCTTACGCTCCAGCCAAATCACTGATGGCGACAAAATTGGAAACGGCAGCAAAGCCCGCGGAAGCAAGCACACCTGGCAAATTGGGGACGGGCTGACAAAGAGCCAGGCGGATGGGATGCGGTGCATGATGGAGGAGAGAAAAATGGCCTTCGCCTTCACACTGAAGCAGCTAGGCAAGTGTAACAAAGGAGAGCTAACGATAGATGTGGTGAGCAAGATGCCAAGCTATCAGCGTAGGAGGCGCATGAGCTCAGGAGACGAGGAACTCTGCCGAGAGAAGTGTAAGGAGCTGTTAGATGCGGAGCTCATACGCGAGTCAGAGTTGGACTATGCCGCAGCTTTGGTGGTAGCCACCAGAATGGATGTGACAGGCAAGGAGCATAGAAAAAGGATTTGTAGGGACTACAGGGACTTGAACAAGCTGACAAAGCCGGATAGGTACTCGATGGCGTCAGCAGAGGAAATCTTCGTGAAGCTGTGGGGGGCGGCGGTGCATTCCACCATAGACATGAGGCAGGGATTCAACCAGATCCCCATCAAAGAGGACTGCAGGA